GGAAATTATAGAAAAATTTCAGCTAAAAATTATATCTCAGTCATTCCTAGAAGTTTTCATTCTTTGGTCCATAGTTTTGGGAAAATAGGGTTTTGTTTAGATAACCTTATAAGCTTCCAACAAACTTTCCACCAGGACAAAGGTAGAATTAAGACAAATGATAAATTAAGGAAAAAAAAGATAAGATAGTAAGGAACAAAATATGACTTGAACCAAGCAATTTGGACACACAATATGAAAATTAGGCCCACTCAAATTTGATACAGGGTTTTGGAATCCTCTGAAAAGGCTCCCTGTACCTTGTAAGCTTGTCAAATGTGCGCAAGTTAATTTCCACATCCAAAATTGATGAAACAACTTTTGAAATGAAGCTAAGAGATATAGCTTTCAAATGAATAAAATTTCAAGTCCAAAATATTCTAGAGTCGTTCCTAGTAAATTTTTAAAATCAGCCTAAAAACACTAAAAATAAAGCACTATCCAACACTGCACTAAGAATGACAAGAATGTGGTAATTTTTTTTCTTTTTCCAAATATGATAAAAAACACAGAAACACATTTAGAAAAAATCAAAACACAAATTTTTATAATTTTTGAAATTTTTTCCAAAAACATAAAAATTGCAAATTAACTATCCTAAGAATTAAACCTAGCCTCCCCGGAAATGTAATGTCTACCTTGACATTATCAAAATTCACCACACAATCAAAATAAACAATCATAATTCCTTGCTCCAAAGCTCACATTATATATATAAGCATTAAAGCTAATAATCTTTTAAAAATAATATTGAAATATTTGGGATCCAATAAAAACCTTTCAAATTTGAGCTTGAGCTCAAACTTAATGATTTATAAAGGTGTTGGAAGCATGGAAAAGTTTTGGGAAATAATATGTAATGTGCAGCTTGACATTACCAAAGTTCACCACACAATCACAACAAACAATCATAATTAGGAGCAAGGATTGCTCCTAAACTTACATTATCTATATAAGGGTTAAAACTAATAATCTTTTAAAAATAATTGTGGAATATTTGGGATCCCATAAAAACCCTTCAAATTTATAGTTTGAGCTCAAATTTAATATTTTATAAAGGTATTGGAAGCATGAAAAAATTTTTGGGAAGCAAAACACTTCAAAACAGGGCCAAAAATGTCATTTTTGAGTATTTTGATATATGCGGTGCAGCGCAGGGCAAGTTTTCTTACTGTACTGTGTGCTGTGGCTTGCGCGAAATGCACCACGGTACACGTGTCTATGATAGCAATACTATTATGACAGCTTTTCTGGACAAACTTGGAATGCTCACCATTTTCACATCCGATATCTGATTGGAGTGATTCAAGTGCCCACGTGAAGCTTATTCAATAAGTTAACTAATGGTATAAGTTTTATTACGATCCAACACCGTAAGATAATTTTAAATACTTAGATGCAAAAGTTAGTTCTTAAAATGATTTTCAAGCATCCAAGTACCCAAAACTCATAACTTATGCCATTAAGCCATTGTGAGGCTTGAACCAAGTCCAATGAACCAAAATACACTTGATTGAGCATTCAAACACACAAAAACATACCAAACACAAAATTTGGCCACTCAATGGCCATTTCACCTAATAAGGCCAAAATACCAAATCAACACCATATACACTATTTGGCCTCTATTGCCACATAATACACTACATATACATTGTCACCATATAGATAAAACATTTCTTGCACTTGTAATAGTATTTTAGCCCATCACTGCAAAAATTGCTACATATTCACATCATATACAATATTGGGCTAAACTACAAAATAACAGAGTATGAAACAAGTGCAACCAATCAAAATGATATGCAGTCCTAGTTGGCAACATATAATATCATCCATATAAGTTTATGTACACCACCCAAACCAAAATTAGGCATTACTATTTGTGATGTAGCAAATTTACTAATCCTTGCCTAATTCTTTCCCTTGCTCAGTCTCAGCGGTAGAACCTCAACCCTTTTGTTACCAAAAGGTTTACCCATGATACTACATCTCTTCTTGCATCAAGGTAAGTCTTCCTACACCGCAATTCAAGAGTTTGAAGGATCAATTTGTCTTCAAAATCCTCTAAAAATGATGCCTTAGCAGTGCCCAAAACTTGCCCCTTCGTGTTCTAAGTTTTCCACCACCAAAATTGTCATTTTCTAATTATTTTTGAAATTTTAAGTTGCCTACTGTATCGTGCACTGTAGCACACTCCACACAAGCTACAGCTTATAATGTAGCAAGTAAAGTATTGATTTTGCTCTCTCCAATGCTATCCGACTTGATCCAACTTCTATCCTAACTCAATTTAGAGCCAAATATAACCTAAAAATCTAATTAGCAACCCAAAAACATATATAAATTAATTAATCATATTTTTTAACTAATTTATCCCTTAATTGGTTAATTTTTCTATATTTAAAGTTTTTGGATGTTACAGTTCTCCCCTATTGACATCCACCATTAACCTAAAAATCCGTAATTGCTTATCTTTGACATCCACTATTCATTTTGGCTTTGCTCGATAAGTCATATTCTCTTGCAGCTCTACCTCTTTAAGTTCAATCACAAAAGATGGATTAGGTTGATATTTCTTTAGTTGAGAAACATGAAAAACATCATGAATCTAAGATAATTATGGGGGCAAGACTATTTGATAGGCAACTGGCCTAACTTTCCTGTGGATCTTGAATGGACCTATGAATCGAGGAGATAATTTCTTTGCTCGGATTGACCTCCTGATTCTCGTCACAGGTGAAACTCTTAGAAAAACATAGTCACCAACCATAAACTCTAATGGCCTCACCATTTATCCACATAACTCTTTTGCCTACTCTGAGCAATTAGAAGTTTTTGCTTATCATTTCAATCTTTTGTGTTGTTTGATCAACAATATTTGGACCCATAATGCTTCTCTCACTCAATTCGACCCAACAAAAAGGAGATTGACATTTTCTTCCATATAGTGCCTCATAGGGAGCCATCCCTATACTGGAGTAGAAACTATTATTGTAAGAAAACTCAGCCAAAGAAAGATGGCTATCCCAATTGCCTCTCAGTTCCAAGGCACAAGCTCTCAACATGTCCTCTAGAGCCTTTACAGTCTTTTCTATCTATCTATCTGTCTGTGGATGATACGCTATGCTAAATCTTAATTCAGTACTTATTACTCTCTACAATGCTTTTTAAAAGTTCAAGGTGAACCTCAGATCACGATTAGAGACAATGTCCTTTGGCATTCCATGTAATCTCATAACTTCCCAAATGTATATCTTTGCTAACTTCTCCAATGAATCACTTATTTGCACTGCCAAGAAATGAGCTGACTTTGTCAATCTATCTACAATCACCTAGATAGAATCATGACTAGATTGGGTTCTTTGTAATCCTAAAATGAAATCCATAGATATACTATCCCACTTCTACTTCGGTATCTCTAGTGGTTGTAAAGTTCCTGCTGGTCTCTGATGCTCAATTTTAACCTTTTAACAACTTAAACATTGAGATACAAAATCTGTAATATCCCTTTTCATTCCAGGCCACCACCAATATTGCTTCATATCTTTGTACATCTTAGTTGCTCTAGGGTGAATTGTATATCTACTCTTATGCGCCTTATTTAGAATTTTCTTTCTCAAATCACCCTTGCCTAGTACACAAACCCAATCTCGATACATAACATATCCATCATCACTGAAACTAAAGTCTGTGGTTCGCCTTTCCTCCACATCTTCCTGAATTTTTAACAGATACTCATCCTCAATCTGTGTTATCCTTAACTCTCTCCAGAACTCATTAGTAATCTCCATGGAATGTAGGCTATACAAAGTTAATTTTGGTGAGTCATGCTAAATATCCAAGTAGGATTCTAACAATTTATGCTCTTGCACCGTTAGACAAGCGACATGCAATGACTTTTGACTTAAGGCATCTGCAACCACATTTGCTTTCCCCGAATGGTATTTAAATTCAAAGCTATAGTCTTTTAAAAACTCTATCCACCTTCTCTGCCTCATATTAAGTTCTTTTTGATCCACTAAATATTTCAGGCTCTTATGGTCACTGAAAACACTGAACACTGCTCCATACAAATAGTTCTGCCAAATCTTTAATGTAAACACAACTATGACAAGCTCTAAGTCATAGGTCGAGTAATTCTCTTCATGCGGCCTAAGCTATTTAGAGGTATAAGCTACTACTCGCTCATCTTGCATCAACACATATCCCAAACCCTTTAGAGATGTATCTGTATACACTTCATATGACAATCATGGATTAGCAATAATCAATACTGGTGCCGTAGTTAGTTTCTTCTTCAACTTTTGAAATACAGTCTCATACTTGTCATTCTAAATGAACGGCTAATCTTTTCGGGTCAACCTAGTCAATGGTGAAGCTATCTGAGAGAAACCCTGGATAAATATACGATAATATCAAGCCAATCTTAGCAAACTTCGTATTTCCATCACAGAACTAGGTCTCTCCTATTTCAACATCACATCCACTTTATACGGATCCATAGCAATCCCTTTTGCTGACACAACATGTCCTAGAAATTAGACTTCCCTTAGCCAAAACTCATATTTGCTAAGCTTGGCATAGAGCTTATTGTCCTTCAAAATTTATAGTACAATCCTCAAATGTTTCGCATGCTACTCCTCATCTTCAAAATATATCAAAATGTCATCAATGAATACCATGACAAACTGATCCAGGTAAGGCCTAAATATGCGGTTCATGTAATCCATGAAAATCGCAGGCCCACTTGTTAACCTAAATGGCATTACCAGGAACTCATAATGCCTATATCTGGTACGGAAAGCCATCTTAGGCACATCCTCCAAGCACACTCTCAATTAATAGTATCCTGATCTCAGGTCAATTTTTGAGAAAACTGAAGCTCCCACCAATTGATCTAACAAATCATCAATCCTTGGTAAGGGATATTTATTCTTTACTATTACCTTATTCAACTGTCAATAATCAATATAGAGCTGTAAGCTACTGTCCTTCTTCTTAACAAATAGTACAGGTGATCTCCAAGGTGACATACTGGGTCTAATAAACCCCTTTACAAGTAACTCCTCTATCTTCTTCTTCAACTCAGCTAACTCAGTTGGTGACATCTGATATGGTGCCTTTAAGATTGGTTCAATTCCTGGCACTAGGTCTATTATGAATTCCACTTTCCTTTCTGGAGGCAAACCAGACATATCATCCGTAAATACCTTAAGGAATTCATTCGCTACCCCAATCTTATAAATACTTCCATCATAGACCCTATGCACTGAGAAGAAAACTATATAAGCCATACATCCTTGTTGCACCAGTTTCTCTGCTTGCACTACTGATAAGAACTTAGACTCGCTAGAAATATTAGCTTGTGCAGTATGTACCGATAACAAAACTATCTTCCTAGCACAGTCTAAGGTGGCATTATTTGCCATCAACCAATCCATGCTGATAATCATGTCCAAACACTTTATAGGAATCCGGATAAAATCAAGAGTAGTTGAATGATTTTCAAACCTTACTTCTACATTCAAACATGCTTTACTAGTCATATGGGATAATCTAGATAGCGTAGACACTTTAATCACATAAGGTAATTCATGCAAAGGAAGTCCTAACCTTTCTACACATTCATATGAAATAAACGAATGTGTAGCATCGGAATTAAACAATGCTTCAATTTTCTACTTGCAGATAGAAATAATACCTTTTATCAAATTTGGCAACGCTCTTGCCTCCTTCTGAGATAGTGTGTAAACTCATCCTAGAATGGTAGTTGTCTGCTCTGCCATCTTCACTCTTCCCTCAGGGCATTATCTTGCCAGATGACTGAGTTTCCCACATTTAAAACATTCCAGCACCTCCTAGGATGTGACTGCCCACACTTAGCACATAATGGTGATCGAGCTGTACTTAAGGTCGAGGTAAGCATATTAGAAGCCTGTTGAGATGGTTGTAGAGTACCATAACTTCTATATCCACCTTTTTGAAATGTATCTTGAGTCTGCGATCCTCTAACAAAACTCTTCTTGCCCAATACTACAAAACTACTCGGGCCATAACTCGTCTTCTTGGAGACTTTTCCAAAAGGGCCTAGGGAGGATGAGAACCTCCTATAACTATCCCATCTCCTTTTTGCTTCTACTTCCTGACCCCTTCTTGTTGCAATTTAGAGCCAATTACACATGTCACCATATGTGGTTACTCTTAACAAAGCAATATGTTATCTACATTCAAGCCTCATCTGTTTTAAAAGCCTCTTAGCCTTCTACTTACTATCATTTGTCTCATTCAGATAAGTAGAAAACTTTGATAGCTGATTAAACTTCTGAATAATGCTTTCTCATCAAGATCTCCTTATCAAAAGTATGGAACTCGGCCTCCTTCTCATCTCTAAATGCTAGAGGAAAATGATTATCAAAGAACATTTCCTTGAATTATTCCCATGCTAGCTGACGTCCATCCATTGGTCTTGCAAAATTCCACCAGTGTTTAGCATCCTCAACTAGATAAACCGTGGCTATAATCACCTTCTATTCTGTAGAGCATGGTACTACCTTAAAGATGGTTTCAACTCTCTCTATCCATTTCTCTACTTCTCCTTCCTTTGTAGTTTTATTAAAGGATAGAGGGTTAAATTGAGATAAAGTCCTCCATGCCTCATCAATAGCCATCCCTTGAGTATCTCCATCCGCTTTAATCCTAAATGATCCAGGTCTTCTACCGAAACCATGAGATAGTTCCAATATGCTCTCACGAGCTTCCTCTGGTCTCCTTTATTCCTCCTCACGACCTTTATTACAGATTAGAGCATTGTAGTCTTGAACAGTTCTCTAAATATTCCTCATCATATCTTACAATTCTTCTAGAATTGCATCATTACCCTAAGGCCTTTGTTGTTGTTCCACTTGTATCTTTAGTTGTACGTCTAGTATAGGCCTATGATTCTTTGGTGAATTGCTGAGTGAATTATCAGTATTTCAAGTGCTTCTTCTAACTATTTTTCTCCCCTTCTAAGAAGAAACCAAGTAGAGAAGGGAATTAGTGGGAAAATAAAGGAAATGAGACAAAGGGAAAGAGTCGTGTACACAAAGTTGCTAACTAATGAAAATGAATGCAATGGAGATATCATGAAAAGTAAATCAAGAAACCCGAGAAACTAATACCAAAATATAATGTCTAGCTTGACATTACCAAAATTTACCATACAATCCTAACAAACAATCATAATTAGTAGCAAGGATTGCTCTTAAGCTCATATTATCTATATAAGGGTTAAAACTAATAATATTTTAAAAAAAGTTGTGGAATATTTAGGATCCTATAAAAACCCTTCAAATTTGTAGTTTGAGCTCAAACTTAATGTTTTACAAAGGTATTGGAAGCATGGAAAAGTTTTGGGAAGCAAAACACTTCAAAACAGGGCTAAAAATGTCATTTTTGAGTATTTTCGTCCATGCACCATGGCTCGTGGTCTATGTGCTGGCACAAAAAGGCAAGTTTTCTCTTCTCGCTGTACCGTGCGATGTGGCTTGAGCAAAATGCGCTGTGGCACACGTGTCCATGACAGTAATGCTGTCATGATAGATTTTATAGACAAACTTGGAACGTGCGCCATTTTTGCATCCAATGTCCGATTAGAGTGATTCAAATGCCCATGCGAAGCTTATTGAATAAGCTAACTAATGGTATAATTTCATTACAATTTGATACCGTATAAAAATTTTAGACATTCGGATGTAAAAGTTAGTTTTTAAAATGATTTTCAAGCATCCAAGTACCAAAAACTCATAACTTATACCATTAACCCATTGTAAGGCTTGAACCAAGTCCAATGAACCAAAATACACTTGATTGAGCATTCAAACTCACAAAAACATACCAAACACAAAATTTGTCCACTAAATGGCCATTTCACTCAATAATGCCAAAATACCAAATCAACACCATATATACTATTTGGCCTCTATTGCCACATACATTGTCACCATATAGATAAAACATTCCTTGTACTTGTAATAGTATTTTAGCCCATCACTGCAAAATTACCACATATTCACATCATATACAATATTGGACTAAAGTACAAAATAATATAGTATGAAATAAGTGCAACCAATCAACATGATATGCATTCCTAGTTGGCAACATATAATATCATCCATATAAGTTTATGTACACCACCCAAACCAAAATTAGGCATTACTATTTGTGATGTTGCAAATTTACTAATCCTTGCCTGATTCCTTCCCTTGCTCAGTCTCAGTGGTAGAACCTTAACCCTTTTATTACTAAAAGGATTACCCGTGGTATTAAATCTCTTCTTGTGTTAAGGGAAGTCTTCCCACACCACAATTCAAGAGTTTGAAGGATCAATTTGTCTTTAAAATCCTCGCAAAATGATGCCCTAGCAGTGTCCAAAACTTGCCTTCATGTTCTAGGTTTTCCACCTCAAAAACTATCATTTTCTAATTATTTTTGAAATTTTAAGTTGCCTGCTGTGCCATGTGATAGGAAATTAGTCGCTTATCCTCAAAATTACACTAAAGCTAACCCTAATACAATATAGGACCAACCCTAGGTCATCTCCCAAGGAATGGTTTTAAGTCTAATTGAAAGTTATCTAATGAAATAAATCAACCAAAATTTGTAGGAATTTAGTTACCTAGCTAATTATCTAAACTAATTACCTAATGTGCAAGTAATTAAAATGCTAGTGAAAGTGAGTGAAATGAACTTCCCTTTTCACAATAATGGAACCCTAGAGATTAGTTGATTTTAGACTCATTATTTTCTCATGATTAGGCTAAGTTTAGCTTCCCTTTCCTCTTAACTAAAGCTGTCATGACTTAAGAAAATTATCCTAAGCCAATTAACTTAATTAGCTAACCTCCCTAGGTCTTAGATTAAAGTCCCTAGTTCAATTAACCAATTGGTGAAGACATTAGCCAAGTGATTCACTCAAAATCCTCTCTCAACAGCCATGGTCAAACACATAAATTGAGCAACCACAAGATTATGTCAAGCTACTCAACAACACAAGCATTAACACCACAAGATTATGCAATATTAACACAAGATATTCACTAATTGAAAAACACAAGATTATGTGCCAAACAAAGAGTGGAAAAATTCAGTCATGGCTGTCTAAGGAAGAAATTAAATGAAACAATCCTCTCTCTTTACATCAACATCAAATTCAAATTAGAATTTATAAGTTAAGATGATTAAACCTTAGATTAAGGAATCTAACCATCTAGTAAAAAGAGAAGAGGATAGGAAACAAAAGAACTTAGCCAATTTGAAGCTCAAGACTCATCCTCCATCTTCATCTCTCTAGGATTCCACAAAGAAACTTAGCCAATCTTCATCTTCAAGAACCCTAGTGATTGCTTGTGAAGGCCAAACTCCATAGCTCGTGAATGATGGAAATGAGCTTCAATCCTTGTGAAAATGGAAGGGATGGAACGAAAATGAAGAGAGGAGAAAAATGATATGAGTTTTGTGGAGGTTTGGTGGCTGAAAATGGAGGTTAGGGTGCTGGAAAATGAAGAACACTATGAACAAGAGAGAGAGAATGTGGAAGATGAATGAGATATGTGTTGGATCCCATTTGGGGCTTAAAATGGCGTGCTCCTTGGTGTCTCCCATCAGCTGAAGCTTAATTAAAATAAGGAAAAAGAAATTAAAATGTAAATGGGAGCCTTGTCACACTTGCAAGGTGGCAACTTCCTATTGGTTTGTAGATGATTCCAATGTGTGCCTAATTTTTCATGTGTCATCTACATCATTTTAGCTTATTTAACCCCTCAAAATAATCATAATTCACGTGCAAACCATCAGCCATTGACCTCAAGGAGTGTTGACCTCAATTGCCTAATTGATGCACAAGTCACATGCCCCCTATGTCACATAAATCACATAATTCAATTAAATAGCATATGATATAATAAAATCTAATTCATGTCTAGAATTAAATTCATAATTAGAAGGGAGAATTTATTAAATTAACTAAGTTTCAGGCTGCACAAAATTATATAAAAATTTTCACACAAAGGCAAACCAAAAACTAGGACAAACTAAGACACTTAAGAAAGTGTTGACTTTTTTATTTAATTACTCCCAAACTAAAATGAATTTTAAAAATATAATTTCACCATTCATCAACTGGACATAAAATGTACTTTGTCAATTTTTCTTGTACATTTTCTCAAAAGTTCATTTTTTGGACCAAAATGCCCCTAGTGCACTGAACCTAGAAACTTAGGCCAAGTTCCAAATCTAATGCAATGTGTGCACTTGAAAGTGATAAATCATTGATAAAATGGTCCTAATTGACAAATAAAAGTGGGTAACAAATGTGTTCTATCAATTCCCCCACACTTAGCTTTTGCACTCCGGGCAAAATCAAGTGAAAAAGGTCCCAAAAGAAACTATAAGACAAAGA